ATCTGAGAATATGATTAGTGAGTGCGAGTCTACATTTACCAAACCCACCCACCATATTTCACTAGTAGTAAGACCGCTGCAAAGAGATCTATTCTATCTGTACACAGTAGTAATAATATACAATGAGTCGAGTCAAGACCATCCATCCATCCATCCATCCCCACCCCTCAACCACAACCTCAAAACCATGAAGTCTATCAACATCAAACAACCAACATCATCCGAAATAGAGATAAAATAAAGTAAACGCCATAAAATGCACCCATCCCAAACGCCACCCATGAAAAACAAACACAACCCACATTACACCCTCCCTGTCTTCCCCACCCTTCCCATTTACCCTTCGGAGACTTGGCAAATAACTCAATCATCCTTCTCCGGCATCCTCATATAAGCATCAATCGCAGCACTGAACGCCGCAAAGCCGGCACACCCCGCCGCCGCAGCCTGGGGACCAGCCTTCGCACCCAGAATCCCACCAGTAATGCAACCCGCAGCGACCGAATTCGTAAGATCATTCTTGGCCCGCAAGCCCTCAATACAGCACTCAGTGCCAGAGTACAGCGCACCCACGACACCGAAGTTCTTCGCGCTGGACCATGACCGCTGGCCCATGTCTTTGAATCCCCTCCGCACTTGCTCTTTCCAGGGGAGGTCGGCGATCGCTTTGCCTTGCGGGGTGAAAGTGGAGTCGTAGGACATCTACACATATACCATGTATCTGTTAGTTTGATTTTGGGAGAGAAGGGAGGGTATGGGGATTGGGATGGGGGCAGGCGTACGCTAGCCATGAACAAACCGAATACACCACCCAGACCGAAACCCATTGTTCCGGCCATGACGGTCTTCATGGGGCAGGATTCCATGGCGGAGTACATCTATAACCATTATTATTGGGTTAGCTTGGTTTTCTGATGTAGGAGGGAGAGGGTAAGGGGTAGGGGAAAGTGTACCATCTTCACCATGGCTTGTTCTTGCTCGCTCATGCCCTGCATGTTGGGTCCTGCTGCGCCGGGGGCGCCGCCGAGGCCGCCCATCGGCGTGGTCATGCCAGCGGGGTTCATTGTGTATGTTGTTTTAGTGTCTGAGGTATGTGGTGGAGCTCGAGAAGGGTTGATATGGAGGCTGGAGTGGTGGAGGAGCTCCGCGACACGGTGGTAGTGAGTGGTGTAGACAGACGGCCGATTATCGCATCCCCCGGACTTTTTGCGGAGATGGCGACGGGCGCAAATTTATTTTTACGGGACGCGGGAGGTGCCAGAGTTGCAATATCACGTGATATTCCGGGATTTCGCGATACTATACGGATACTATCTACTACCCCTACTAATACAGAGCAAGATAGCTAAATCTAGGCAATAAGTAACTGTTTTTACAGCCAGTACATTCTGACATAAATACATTCTAAAACATTGCAAGAAGGTAAAGAGTGAAATCAACGCTCATCGTAAAGGGTATTGCAACATTCATAACCCTGCGTTAATCCGTCGGTCTCTGCTTGGTCGCACATATCGTGTCCATATTTACATTAGCATTGGAAGAAATAATCGAAAGCCGTAATCGAACGGCATATTCAGAGTAATCGAGCAATCAGTCACGCTTGTCGTCCTTGTCAATCGGCGAATAGGGTTCCTTTCGTTCGGGGGAGAGACTGCGCTCCCATTCGGCCATCAGGTTGGACGCGGTCCGGGTCAACTTTGAGGGCGCCAGCTTGGTAATGGCTGGCCAAGGGATACCGTCGGATACGCTGGGATCGGGAACAATAGACTCGTGTAGGGCGCGCCAGTCGCCAAAACTAGTGCCAGTCAGCGTATCACTGTCAAGGGCCAAGACGAGGACAGATGCCTACGAAAGATATAAACACTGGTTAGGACCTACCTGGTACTTGTACGTGGACTGCTGCTCTGCGTCATCGGCGACTGGTCCTGCTTCGACTCCAACGTGGAGCGGCTGGACGACGGCGTGTGTGTCTTCTTCGGCGAGTCCCACTCCCAGTTGTCTTCAACATCGGGGATGTGGGAGTCGCCCTGTTCGATCCGCCCGCTTGGGGTACTGGAGGCTCCGCGAGCGCTCCGGGACTTCTGTCCAGCTGTATCAATGCCGAATTCACTCCAGAACGACGCGTCAATGTCCGCCGAGTTGGAGTCTTTACCAGAATAATTCGTCCCCGCGCGTGACGTTCTGCCCCCCTGCATGGATAACCGGTCTCTGCTTCGCGATGTCGAGCTGGATGAATCCCGCTTGCGTACGGGAGGTACGCCCCGGGATTCGGTCGCACTGATGCCCTCTTCTCCCACGGTCGCTTGTCGGATATCCTCCAAGAATGTCCAGAGTCCCTCGCGCAGGTCGGAGGCCATCTGCTTGCCGGTGCGCATCAGCGCCTCGCGAGATGGAGGAGGCATGGTGTTTCGCCACTGCGCAATCATGTCCTCGGTGGGCTTGGAGGAGTCGCCGGAACCTGCACTGCGCTCAACAGACGACGGCAGAGTGGCTGACCGGGGAGACCGACCAATACGACCATTCACCGAGTTGGTCTCCGACTCCGATGCGGCCCTGCCGTCTCCAGAAACCGACACCGGCGACAGCAAGGACAGGGTCCGGGTGTGAGAGCCCCGGAACACCCGTCGTCCATTGGCTGAGACGGTCGTGCCTTGGGTTGCAGCTGCGCGCAGACTGTGGCGGCGATCCAGCTCCCGGCTGAGTCGTGCGTGCGCCAGCGAGGGGCTCGCGGAGCCGCTCAGACTGGGGTCTCGACGATGCGAGCGCTCCGGAGTCTGATCGGGGGATCGCAGCGGGATCAAAGGCTCTGCCCGATAGCTGATCTCCGCTCGCTTCTTGGTCCTCTCGGACGAGGCCCACTGCTTCTTCAACGAGTCCAGCTCAGTCTCCGCACGATGGAGCTCCTCCCGCAGCTCCAGCACTCTTCTTTCCTGCGAGGCGATGGCGGTCAACAGTCCGGAGCCATCATCTTGTTCGTCAAAGGCCAGGGGAGCTCCCAGATGGGGGATCGGCGAGGGGTAGGCGGAGGAACGAGTCACGGGCGTCATGGATCCAGGGGAGGCAACACTCGCACTAGGGTCGACGGTGGCGGGCGGCGGGATGTTGATGGGGAAGTTCAAGGTCAGTCGTTTGGCGTGTCGAGCAGCACCATTTGGACGTGCTGGCAGAGAGGATCGCTTCGACTCAAGGGTAGTTCGATCATGCTCAGTGGGAGGGTTTGGGTGGTGGTGGTGTTGGGTGAGGTGGTCGGGCGACGACAGCTGCAGCAATGTCTGGGACGTTTCCGGAGCCATTCCCGCCCTGCCCGTTCCCGGGGAATCCCCCATGACGGACCAGCGTACTGAGGATGGAGACTTCGTCGTTGATCAGACAGGCCTGGGGAGTTGGTTACAGAAGCTGAAGCGACAGAATCATGGCAAAACCCTGGAAAGCCCGACAGGAAGGATAGAAAACAATCGATCAGGGGCCCGGGAGTCAGTCAGATGAATGCTCCAGGGGGGGCGGGCACGAGGGAGAGGAATTGGCTGATAAGAAAGCTAAAGAATGTATGGGGCCAATCAGCCGCATAAACAAATGGTAGCCGTTTAAGAGGCAGAAAAGGAGGAGATTGAAGAAAGAGAAGAAAGAAGGTCAGTCAGGGTAAGGGAAAGAAGGGAAAAATAGAAGAAACGGGGCCGGGAAGCAACACGGCCAAGAGAAGAAGGAGTGTAATCAAATCCCATCAAATAAAAATGCCGAAGAGCACGAGCACAAGAGGAAAAGGTCTGGCCGAGGGCACGAAAGTATGGCTAAGAGCCAACGGGTCTTAGTGAAGGTCACTAAAGCCACCAAGTTGGCGGGCGAAGGAGGGAAGTGGATGGGCTCCAGCGGGTCGCAACGCGCATCCCTTCCGCCTGCAGTCTTGCGTTTCACCGCGTTCTCATTTCTCTCATTTCTCTCATTTCTCTTCTCTTTTCTCTTTCAGGGGGTGATGGGTGATGGGTGATGTCCATGGAAATTACTAACCCGGTAGTTAGATGAGGATGGACACTGCAAAAAGGTGTATACCCAGTATAGATAGTATATGATTATCTATCTACATGATCATCCATCACATTTCATTATCTTTCCCTGCTGCACGATGCGGGGAGACATGCACGCAAGGGGGAAGGAACATTTAAACAGCAATGATCAATGAGGATCATCCTCCCCTCCCTCATGTGGTTGACAGCCCCAACGTGATGCCAATTTACCTGCAACTGCTTTCTCCCTACGTATTTATTACTGCTCCTATTTTTAAACGTCGTATCGTCCCGACCCGTCTTCTCGGAGTCTGGATGGCCTGCTCGGCTGGTATTTCCGTTATTACTTTGTACCATCATGTTGTTCCTAATATACATCACGTAGGAGATTTAATTGATAACATTTTTCATAGAATTGTGGTTACCCATACATGCAGCAAATACATGCAGGACGCAGATCGCCTCAGTTCCACCAACACCAGCTATAGTTCACACAAAGTCCATACACTGTCCAAGATTATCCTTCCATCCAAAACAACAACAACAACAACAACAACAACAACAACAATTACAATTATCACATCATCAAAAGAACAAGAGAAAGAAAAGCAGTAAAAGACCTATCTATCAGAACAGAATTTAGTACACATGCTCGCCCGAAATATAATCATCAGAAATGAAAGTCGTCGCGCAGATTCGGAGCTGAGCCATCGAGCCAGTCCCACGGGTTGTGCCACGCTGCCACACCAGTTCGACCAGCACCTGGCCTCCAGCTTGGCCCCAACCCACGGAGCCCAAAGCAGCAAGGAAACCGTACCAAGCGAGGGGAATTATGCAGAAATGAAATCAATAGGTGCAGCATACAACAAGCCCATGGACCCAACATGTAAACGCCCCGGGAACCGATTTTGTACAGATAATAAGAATAAAACAAGGTCAAAAGAGAAGACAGAGAGCCGCAAGGGACCTGTCAATAACGTCAGGGATACAAGGAGGAGTTTAGATCCCCGGCCAGCGGTTGCGGAGGCCTTCAGACCATCGTTGATAGAGCACATCCGACAACTGCTTCGTGTGCTCCATCCCCGGCACTTGCTGGCCCGGGAGATTCGCCAGCTGCGCCGGCTGCAGGTTGGGCTCGGCCACTGCCGCACTCTGGCGGCGCCGATGGCTTTTCAGATGTGGGTTGTTTTGTGCCAGAACCAGTCGCGGCCTCTGTGGGGATTCGGCCGGTGGAGCGGGTGGGACGAGGCTGGCCAGCTTGGGGTCGCTAGAGTAACCGCCAATTTCATCAGCTTCCCTTGCCATTCGCTGCAGGAAATATCGCCACTTACCCTTGCAGTCGCTCCGTCATCGCCCTCACGATGTGATACAGACCCTCGGGGTCGATCATTTCCAGATCACTCCACGCCTCGGCCAGCCGGGAAATTGCCTCGCGCTTCTCGTCATCTCCCGTCGTGCCCAACACCTCCTGACAGGCAAGTCCCACCGCCTTGCTGTATGCGCGACGGCCCAGCTGTGCTTCCTTGCTGTTGGGCTCCGAGAAGAGCGTCTTGGGACTGGCATTTTCGTCCGTGTAGGAATACTGCGGGGGGTATGAAGCGTCGGCGGGGATCTTATCCGACACCCGACGGAATTGACGAACGGTCGAGGGACTGTTCCCAAAGCTCATGTCCACCCCCAAAGGTTGCTTCACCCCGCTGGATCGTCGCTTGGCACGCCGCAAGGATGGACTGCGTTCGGGGGCCGGTGCCCGTCTGACGGCGGTATTCGTTGCATGCTTCGGTGGAATAGGTGGGCTAGAGATGTGCAAGTCGTCCATCAGCTCGGAGGCTTCATCAAACACCCAGTCCTGGGGTTCCGGCTCGTTCTCAAAGTCGTCGGGCTCTTCGCGGATAGCCATCGTGGGAGCTTTCACGGTATCAAAGACCCATCCGTCATCATCATCCAGGTTCCGAATCGTATTGCTGCAGCAAAGTAGTTAGCGGATGTGATGTGTGTTCGGGGGCGGGCCACATACAGGGACTCTGCATAATACTTCACTTTGTGCGTCACACCCCGACCAGCATCCCAGTCCTGCCTCCGGTGAATCAGCTCCTGTAAAGCCTCCGTTTTCCCCGCATTGCGGATGAACTTGTGTCTCAAAAGCTCCTTGGCGCTCGGCCTTCGGTCGGGGTCCTTGGTCAAGCATTGTGCAATAAAGTCCTTGAAGGTGTTGCTATAGTCGTCGCCTTGCAAGCGGGGGGCGGGTTCCTTGGGAATCAAAAAGAGCACTTTCATGGGGTGAGTGCTGGCGTGTGGCGGCTCGCCGTTGATCATCTCGATCGCTGTAATACCTAGGGACCAGATATCCGCTTTGTAATCGTATCCAGCCTGCTGGATCACTTCGGGCGCCATCCAAAACGGCGTTCCGACAAAGGTGTTGCGTTGGGATTTGATATTGATTAACTGTGCGGCCACGCCGAAATCCGCCAGCTTGACCTTTCCGGTATGCGACAGAAGTACATTGGCGGCTTTAATGTCGCGGTGGATCTTGCCTTCGCTGTGCAGATAATCCAGACCCAGCAGCAATTGCTGGCAAATAATGGCGACGTGGGCTTCGTTAAAAACGCCGGGTTTCAGCTAGAAGTGGTTAGCGAAGCGCACCCAGATTCGACAGGTCACTCATGGATTACCAGGTCCAGACAGGATCCACCACCGAGATACTCCATCACAATCCACAGCTTATGACCTCTCAGAAAACTCGCCTTGTATTGCGTCACGAATTGGCTCGCACAGGTAGCGAGGACGGAGATTTCCTGCTGGATTTCTTGGATATCATCTTCACTGGATTCGAGATCGATCTGTAGCAGCGGGCGCATGTCAATTAATGGATACGTTCAGCGGGCGAAAAAGCCATGAGTCACACGCACATGTTTAACCGCCACAATCTCTCCGGTAGCCTTTTCAATGGCCTTGTACACCGTTCCAAAACTTCCACCTGCAGGTGCAAACGGTCAGTTCCCGATGCGATTGCCTCCACTGACACATTCCGCAGGACCACTCACTTCCCAGCTCCTCCAGCATCTGATAATGACCTGACATGTCGTCCTCCATGGTTATCGTGCAGGAGGTCTCCTCCACGGATGAGACAGCGACGACGTGAAAAGTGGAGAGAGAAAAAATAGAAAGAGGTAAAAAGGTGAGCAGGGACCACACACACACACACACAACTCAGCACACAAGGGGCAACCCGCACAGCCAGCCAGCTGAATTAATCCTGTGGATACAAGATATACACGCTGAGCCGAACAAATTCGAGTGAACCGACCTTGGAGAGCGGAGGGATGGAGGAGCAATCAACGGGGGAGCTGAGGCTATCTACCAGGGACTCCTCCATTCAAGGACCAGCCCGTCGCGCATCCGGTGGTCGGCAGCCGCTCGCTCCCATGGTTCGCGGCAGACACAACAGGCGGTAGCTCATGGCAACCATGGTTCCCGCTGCTTCTTCCCCTTCACCGCCTGCCGCTGACCGCCGGACTCGGATTATTTGGTTTGCCGGTATGTCAGATCACATGCTGCTTTCTTTCCCTTAACTTATAACTTGCTCCATGATTAAGCTTCTGACCTCCGAAAATTATGACATGGAATAAGACCATGTCTTACACTGACATGTGCAGTTTTCTTTGATATTTAGCTACTCAGCAGCCACTTCACGAATACGATCGGGTTTCGATCGTGCATCTCATCGACGGGGGGCCTAAGAGTTAAATTACTTTCCCCGCATAGCCAGCCACCTTTGCTCTCTGCTAAATATAACCTAGACTCACTATGGTGGGTTCGTTTTCTCGGAAATCTTGGAAACCTGGCTATCTATCTACGAAATTCCGGATGCGACAACTTAGCTTATGCAATATCTTCGCCACATCTGTGTAACTCGACAAGGCCACCAGCATCTGGATGGTACCCTACACAGTGTACTCCGTAACGCTATATTCACCATAATCCATTCTTACGGCCCCCGGGTTGGCATTACCAAATAACAGGATATCTACATGCAATAGAATTTCTAGTTCCAACTATTGAGAACTACTAAAAGTAAATCTGAGTTTAATGTTGAACCGAATATGTTGAACATTACCGAGTACAGTACTTTTGTGCTCACCCGAACTACAAATGGAGCTTTCGGTCTGTAACTAACATACTTATTGATATACTTCAGTCACTCTTAGTTACTAAATGTAGGTTATGATTTTGAAGAGAATAATCAATACTACTATGGGCCAGGTCAGCTGTAGGCTCGGGAACCGAGGAGTCCGTGTGACCGAAGCTACCGTGGATCGTTGATGTATATCCTCCGTAGCACTAGTCAGGAACTGTAGGTCTGGAATCTCGGAAGGCGCGATGCTAGGGGTATAACTTTTTCAGTAGCTGACATTTAACCCCTCATCTCCTCCCGTTCCCTGTACTCTATTCAACCAAACACCCCACCGTCGTATCAGCCGAATATTCCACCATGGGGTTGTTGTCCAACTCCCACACCAACCAGCTACTCCTGCCGCTAACGGTCCTGGCAGCACTCACATTCGTCACCTCCAGGGTTCGTCGCTATCTTGTCCGCCGCGAATTTACACGCCGCCATGGCTGCCAGGAACCGCCCAGTGTCAACAAGGATCCTTTCCTGGCAATCGATCAAATCTGGGCCTCCGTTCGCTATTTTCGAGAGTACGTTTCCCTGGAGAAAAACGCTGAGCGCTACCGCCTCTATGGGGATACATACGCCTGGAAATTACTGCTGGGGCACTACAGAGTCTTCACTATGGAGCCGGAGAACGTGAAATCGGTCTTGTCAACGAGTTTCAAGGACTGGGGTCTGGGTCACCGTCTCCCGCATTTCGAACCGCTTCTCGGTAAAGGTATTTTCGACACAGATGGTGAGCACTGGGCTACGTCTCGTGCCCTCATCAGGCCCAGCTTCACCCGCGACCAGGTTGCGGACCTGGCAATGTTCGAAGAATTAATCCCCGACCTCTTTGCCCGGATTCCTCGTGATGGAGTGACGGTGGTGGATCTGCAGGATCTCTTCTTTCGCTACACTATCGATTCAGCCACCGCATTCCTGTTCGGTCAATCGGTCGCCAGCCTGAAGATGGACCAGTCGGAGCTTGGCTTTGCTCAGGCCTTCAACTATTCCCAGGAGGCCATTACATTGCGTTTCATTCTGGGCCCATTAGGCAGAATCTTCCCTCACAAGAAGGCAGACAAATGTTATCGTCTATGCCGGGACTTTGCTGCGCGGTTCGTCGACGAGGCAGTCCAAGCAGCCCAGTCCGAGGGAGCCGATGGAACTTCGGAGACAAAGCATGAGAGGTATATCTTCTCTCATGAACTGGCACGACGCACGTCTGATAAACGCCGCATTTTGGACGAGCTCATGAACGTTCTGCTTGCCGGTCGTGACACTACTGCCGGCCTATTGAGCAACATGTTCTTCATGTAGGCTAAGCACCCAAAAGTCTGGGACAAGCTGCGCCAGGAAGTGGCTACCTTGGAGGGCCGATTGCCCTCGTATGAGGAGCTTCGTAACCTGAGGTATCTCCGATGTTGCATGAATGAATGTGAGTAAACCGCTGCCGTGATTTTGCACCATAGCTCGTCTCTGACAATCTATCAGCATTACGATTGCATCCAGCTGTACCAGTAAACGGGCGCATTGCACTGAGAGATACAGTATTGCCAAAGGGAGGAGGTAAGGATGGTCGCTCGCCGGTCTTCATGCCCGAAGGGTCCACAATTGAGTACAATGTATATGCGATGCACCGGCGGAAAGATATCTATGGAGCTGATGCAGATGTTTTCCGCCCGGAGCGCTGGGAGAATAGACAATTGCAGCCTCGCTGGGAGTACCTTCCCTTCAATGGAGGCCCACGCATTTGTCTCGGTCAGCAGTATGCGCTGACGGAGGCCGGATATGTCACTGTTTGCATGGCCCAAGAATTCCGGACCTTGAAAAGCCAGGATCCAGGACCGTGGGAGGAGGCATTGACCTTGACTCTGTGCTCACGGAATGGAACGAAGGTGTCTGTCACACCGGCTTGAATAGAAAAGTTTGCCTGTTGTATTTGTACTGCTTAGCTTATTGTCGAGTGCCATATCAATAGCCAGACTGTCATGTTGTTTTTGGCCTCTACTATTGCACTTCAAGCACCTTATGTATGCTGAAGGGCTTAGAAGGGGATGTGGCGGGAAAGCCCTCCAAACCCGAATATTGTGGACACTGTAAATGACACATCACATTAACTACTAGATGAGGTTATTCATGCTTATTCTTCCTTGGATCTGGCTTGTATTCCCGTCTTGATAAGCTTCTGCTCCCGTGACTCATTCCATATAGTACCGGAATCGGTCTCCGAACTCCGATTCATATACCGAGTCCGCATACGACCAGGGACAACTGCTACCTTTGGAACTCTAGCTTTATTCCTTCCTAGAGAAATATCATAATACACGGCACTTTAATGATTCTCCAGATAAATAATCGTTTAGTAGATTTTCGCAATTTCATTATACTATCTAAGAATCGGACATCTCCGGCATACCTAGTGTATCGGTATCCGGCGTGCCGAACCCCGATAAGCATGGAAGCAGACCATTCCATCACTCCCACCCCTCTTCGCTACTTCTATTCTGTCATACAAACCAGATGCAAGATTTCCCTGGGTGGTGAATTTATTATCGTGTTTAAGCCACGAGTATACGCCCAGAATGGCCCCCCAATCATACGGACGGGTATGTTCAGCTCACCCACTATCTACATCTTGCTTACCAAGGCGGGCGAACAGGCTTGTCTGAATTGCTCCAAATCCAAATGCAAATGCGTTGACCGACCAGGAAGTCAGGGGTGTGAAAGATGTTATCGGCTGAACAAGACGTGCCTGCGAGGTACCTCAACGAGAGCGATGCAGTCCCAGAAGAACAATACTGTCGCGCGCATTGCTCAGCTAGAAGGCAAGCTGGATGAGCTGGTGTCATCTCTTCAGCCACAAAACCCACGAAGCACTTCTGGCAGCTCTGTTAGAAATTCTCTTTCTACTGCAGCATCCGATACCAGCTCCCCTGCTACATATGGAGATCATGATATCCCCGCAGCATCGACGTCTAGTTCGGACGGCTTGGATTCTTCCCCGGAAGAGTCTCTAGATATATTTCGTACTCACATGCTTCAGTATTTCCCCTTCCTACATATCCCTAGCGACGTGCAATGGATGCGTCAGGAGCGGCCATTCCTATTCCTCTGCATTATGGCAGTGACGTGTCCATCGATACCGACCAAGCTCGCCTTAGGGGAGAAGATTAGAAAGATTGCCACGGAAAGAATGTTCCTTTCTAGTGATCCAGGTGCAGTGAACCTTGATCTTCTGCTAGGTCTTTTGACAGTTCTAGCCTGGGGCTACGATCACTTACTACATGACACCGCAATGGGGCTGCCGCGGTTTACCCAGCTCGCTATAACGGTTGTTTACGAATTGCGTCTCAACAAGCCAATTCCTGATGACACCAATGTCCTTACTGCCGGACTCGGCGGCTGCGCCTCATCGAGGGCACCAACGCGGACGCTCGAGGAGCAGCGAGCAGTCCTAGCATGTTTTATTTTGAGCTCCATGTAAGTTTAATTGCACGGCTCTACGTGGTTATGCCTAACACAGCTAGCGTATCGACTTGTCTTGACAACATCCAACCAATGCAATGGACGTCACATATGGAAGAATGTCTCGAAGCTCTGACTCGGAAATGTGAAACGCCGCTTGACGAAGTATTCGCTCATCAAGTCCGACTGCACCGTATTGCAAGAGAGGCGGAGCATATCCGAATTGCGTCGACGGCGGTTCCGGCAGCGTTTCACCTTACTGCTTTGCAGAGGAAGGTCAACGAGGTCAAGCAGAGTATAACACCTGACTTGCAACATAACAGTGAGTAGATCACCGATTATACCATCGTCAGGACTTTGGCTCATGCTGAACAGGCCTATTCCGTGCGTCGACGTACTACACCGAATTGAGCATCCACGGCCTCGTCCTCTCAAAAAAGCAAGACATCCCAGACCTACAAAGACTCGAAGGACTCCACGCATGTCTCGAAACCGCCAGATCAGCATTAGATAGCTTCTTCCAGATATCATCCACCGACGACTATATCGGAATTTCATTCCCCTTCTTCAACTATCTCGCGCGGAGCATCCTAGTCATCATGACACTTTCAACGATGAACGACCCCATCTGGGACACAAGCCTGGTGCGATCGACTGTGGACGTTCTATGGATCTTGGACCGCCTGATCAACGAGGTGCAACAAGCCAAGGCGTCGAGAGGTGAAGAGAATGAGTCAGCCAATGGATTCTTAGACAAGTCGACCAAGAAACTCCTGTCACTTCGTGCCTCTGCATGTGCCGCGCTGATGCCGGCGAAGACGCAGGTGCAGTGTAGTAGCGTTGCCCAAGCGGCCGAGGACGACTTGCAGGTGTTGCGCATGTTTCGGGCCTACGAACTAATGGATGCGGGATTGATGGCTAGTTTCATGGAGGGGACAGCTATCTTTGATGGATTTTATTAGCTGATATTCCACAGACATGATATCTATATCCCAAAAAACTCCTAATCCACTCATCAACCACCTTCCAACCACCCCTACTCAAAACTAGTCGAATGCGCAATCTCCCTCATGCCCTCCAAATTCTCCCTAACCCCCTCAATCTTCCCCGAAAACCTCTTCCAACAATCCGGCCCCAACACCACCCTCAAAAACCCCTTATCAGCAATTCCACTCGCCATCCCATTCCCATCCACCACCTCCAGAATCCTCTGCGCCGCCTTCTCCGGATCCCCCTCCTGACTCCCATCCTTCGCCTTGATCAACTTCAGCGCCGCCTCCACCGGCGTCCCCACATAATCCTCATTCAACCCCGCCGCAGGCGCCACAAACGCACTGAAGAACTTGGTCCGGAAGTACCCAGGTTCAATGAGCAGAACGCGGATCCCGAAGGGGTGGAGTTCTTTGGATAGGGACTCTGTCATGCCTGTTCGCATCCCTATTAGCATACATACATATCCACACACAGATATCATCATATCATAGATAAGATATATAACTGATGGGAAACATACCCTCAATCGCAAACTTCGACCCCGCATAAACCGCACACCCCGGCGCACCATCAACCCCCGCACTACTACTAACATTCACCACCGTCCCGGCCCCCCTCTTCCTCATAAACGGTAACACGCCCTTCAACACCCTTATCGGACCATACACATTCGTATTGAACTGGGACTCAATCTCCGCTTCGCTCATGTCCTCTATACTGCCCAGCAGGGAGTATCCCGCGTTGTTGACGACGACGTCGATGACCCCGTCTGCGTGTGTGTTGATAGCCTTTTGGATTATGGACGGGGTGGAAGGGTCGTTCACGTCCAAGGGAATCCAGATCCCCCCCAGTGAGGTGATTTCGGGTTGTAGGGTCGATGCGGTGGTGGTGTTGCGCGCTGTGGCGAGGACGCGGTGGCCGGCGCGCAGGGCGGCGAGGGCGAGGGAGGCGCCGAGCCCGGAGGATGTGCCGGTTATGAGCCACGTTTGGGGCATTTTTCTTAGGGTTTGCTGGGGGTTTGGGGGGTGGGGGGAAGGTGGTAGTAGGAAGTAGGAATGTGTGTTGTCTTTATACTATGTAGTGGGGGTGGAGATGGAATAGCTAAGCTTATCTATGGCCCGTCGCTAGGGTATGGATTGGTGATACTCCGGGGATTGAAGGTTAATGCCATTTACTCCGATAGGGCTGGATGGTAGGTGCGGAGTTTGCGGAGTTAGATGGATCATTTCCGCATGTTAGAAGTTGGATGGAGTGGAAGTGGGTTTGGTAAAGTAGTTTGTGTTGTATACTCTGTAGTGTATTGGGGTTGATATGCTTTCTATATGGTAAATTGCATGAGGATTGTCCCTGATAGGGACAAAGATATGTGTATGGGTGATAATGAATTAGCTGCTTGCAGGTAGAGATGGCTGGATCTTGCAAATGGAACAAGGTATAATGGGATCGGATATAGGGGCTAGGCTTTACCCCTCTCATTGTCTATTGACAAGACAGAGTTGCTAAAATCTCACGTCAGATTGATTTTGGAACGAGGGATCAAGTCAGTGGCTCCAATGTGAATATTACGTATAGTTTGGTGAAAGAAGGTTGGTGCTCATGATAGCTTACGCTGCTTCTGGCTCAAATAATCTCCATTTTAAAAGTATGATATCAAGGTAACTCCAATATGCTGCAAATCTAAATGTACTTGTAGGGGTTCAAGATTCCATTCTATAATCATCAGTAATAATTTCTCGAATATTGGAAAGGTACTCACCGGGTCATATAGCCCCTTCAGCTGCTTCATCAACTTCACCATGGTTTCATTCTGGCTGTATCCGATAAACTCCTTCTTCGCAAGACCGAGACCATGCTCAGCACTGATGCTGCCATTCCGCTTCTGGATCCACTCGTACACCCAAGGCTCAATGGCCTTCTCGACCTCCTTGTTGTACTGGCGCACCGAGATGTTCAGGTGCAGGTTGGAGTCACCCATGTGGCCATATCCCACAACAGCACGGACAGGGAACGAGTCGTCGTCGCCAACGAATCCAAGCTTCGTCAGACGCTCCTTGCAGTCCTCGACCAGCTGGTACAGCTCCGGCAGAGGAATGGAGACGTCATACTTGTAGGTGCCACCCAGGTGGCTCAGCGCCTCCGTGATACCCTCTCTCCAGCGCCAGATGGCGTGGAACTGGGTCTCGTCCTGAGCCAGGACACCGTCCGCAACGATGCCTTCGCCCATGATGTGCTCCAGGAATCCCTCCAGCTTGGCCATGTCGTGCTCAGCGTTGGATCCGCTGGTCTCGACGAGACAGTAGAAGGGGTACTCGCCTTCCAGGGGATACTTGGTGCCAGTGGACTCGTGGACGAGCTTCTGCGTGCGGCCGTCCATGAGCTCAAAGGCGGAGAGAATCTCGGACAGGTGGCCCTTGGCTTCTTGGTAGGCCTGGCGGACCTGGTCGTAGCTCTCGAGACCAAAGTAGGCGACGTTGACGGCCTTGGGACGAGGGGGGCACAGGATGGACACACCGGTGATGATACCGATGGTGCCCTCGGAACCAATGAACAGCTGCTTCAAATCGTATCCAGTGTTGTTCTTGCGCAGGGTCGACAGAGCGTCAACGACGGTTCCGTCAGCCAGAACAGCCTCCACACCGAGGACGGTGCCGTGGAGACTGCCGTAGCGGAGGAGACGCAGACCACCAGCGTTGGTAGCCACATTGCCACCGACATGGCAGGAACCCTTGGCGCCCAGATCCAAGGGGAACAGGTGGTTGCGCTCAGCGAGGTACTGATCGGCAACCTCCAGGATGACACCGGCATCGACAACCAGCACACCGGAAGCCTCATCGAACGAGCGAATCTGGTTCATGCGAGACAGGTTGATGACAATCTCGTCAAACACCGGCACGGAACCGCCGACCAACCCGGTATTGCCACCCTGAGGAACCACCGCCAACTTCTTCTCGTTACAGTATTGCAGCACCTTGCTGACCTCCTCCTTTGTCTGGGGCTTGAGAACCAGTCTCGTGTGACCGCGGTACTTGCGCATCCAGTCGCTGTTGAAAGGCTCGATATCGTCGGCCGCGTCGGCGGTAACGCCATCGATCACGGCGGACTGGGCGCCCAGCAATTCCTTGAAGAAAGCCACATCGTCGGCGGAGATTTCAGCGAACTTGGGATCCCGCTTGAGGTTGGGGTAGGCGTTGCTGGTGTACTTGATCTCCTTGGTCGCATTGGCCGCGGAGGTGACGCTGAAGGCGCGGGCGGCAGTGGTCGCGGGAGACGGGGCGCAGACGGACAGAGGACGCAGCAGAGAGCGAGGCTTGGGCACGCGAGCCCGTCGGAGGGCGACGGAGAGATTCCTGGCACCGGACATGATGGGTGGTGGTGGTGAGGAAGACGGAGAAGAGCCAAAGGCTATATCTGGAAGTCTAAAAAGCTTACCGGTCGGAGTTGTGGAGGCCCTCCGGTGGTGCTTCCGTCCCGTCGGAAGGGCGGTATCGGCCTGTACGGCGGAGATCTCGGTTTAACCTATGCTCCCTGGATTGGAATGTTGGAGAGGAGGGTGACAGTATCCCGCGGATAATCGGGATGAATGGCCATTATTATGACGATGCTGCCCTTGTCTGACTTGGAGTTGAGTAACCAGTGACGTTATGTTAATATCCCTTGATATTGAGTAGCGCGACTGGGATGTGTGACTGGTGGAAAGATGAGAACTTCAGTTGTATGGGTTGGACCAATTGATGCAGTATGAAATGGTAATTCCAAGTACTAGTTATTCAGCAATTGACATTCAAGGCCAATGGAGTGTCATGATAACCAATTGTAATAGTATTGTTGGTGGATGAAACTGAGGGCAAGGGACTTCCCAAAAAGGAATCGAGGCAAAGCACGAGGTGCCAAGCCCCGCATCAATGCAGCCTCACAAATAGAAAAACAGTACATTCATCTCATGTCCAGTTGGGGATCAATTGTGCCTGGCCCATTACGCTGTGTCTCGACCCATCCATCCCGATCAGCTCACCGTGACAGACCCTCTTCCACAGAGAAAAATAGAACAGTAAGAGACTCACCCGTCGTTACGTCATGAAGATGCCCCGCAGTTGACCAGCTACCAGAAACATCTCTTCAGCGCGTCATTGTCCCCCCCCTTCTTTTGATCTCTTCTCACCATGTCCTCTACTGAGACGCAATTCGGAAACATGTCGACTACTGTTCTTGTCACTGGTGCTACCGGCCTTCTGGGCCGACAGGTATTCAATACCTTCAAGCACTCCGGCTGTCTGGTCGTTGGTCAAGGCTATTCCAGAGCCATACCTCCCACGATACAGAAGGCCGATTTGGAAAAGGAGGAGGACATTAAGAATCTATTGAACGAAGCGAAGTAATTCAACTCCTGACTACGACTTCCGCCTTGCATCTCACACTCAATACCCCCCAATCTCACACCCGCCTTGTTCACGAATTGAATCTGACTGATGTCCGTGCCCCTGCAGACCTCAAATTGTCATCCATTGTACGCCACCTCCTGCTTGGAAATGCAGCAACCTGCATCCCGTTGCACGCTGACCGTTCCGCTCTAGGTGCCGCAAACCGTTTCCCCGACCTGTGCGACCAGAACCCGGACCAGGCGCGTCGGGTCAACGTTGACGCCACCCGCATCCTCGCAGAAGAGACCGCCCGCCGTGGTGCCCTGCTGGTCTACATCTCGACCGACTATGTCTTCCCCGGTAAGGAGGGAGAGGCTCCCTACGAGGCCGACGCGCAGACCAACCCACCCAACCTCTACGGGCAGTTCAAGCGGGATGGCGAGCTGGCCGTGCTGGAAGCTACCAAGGAGACTGGGCTAGGAATCGTGCTGCGGGTGCCCGTGCTATATGGTACTGCCAAGGAGAACTCGGAGAGCGCCGTCAACACCCTAATCGATGCGGTGTACAAGGCGCAAGATGAGAACGCGGGGGTGAAGATGGACGACTGGGCCCAGCGCTATCCCACCAACACCGAAGACGTTGCACGAGTGTGCCGTGACATTGTAATCAAGTATGTTAAGGAGCGGCAGCGCATCCAGGAGCTTCCCAAGATCCTGCAATTCTCATCGGAGGACCGGATGACCAAGTACGAGATTTGTGAGAAGCTGGCGGATGTGCTCGGACTGTCCCTGGTTGGAATGGTGCGGAACAAGCAAGGAAACGACCCGAACGCGAGTGTGCAGCGGCCCTACGACACTCACCTGTCGACCAAAGCGCTGAAAGAGCTCGGCATTGATCTCCGGACGGTTGACTTTGTGTCGTGGTGGTAAGTTATTCCTTTCCTTACTGGGATCATCGTTGGTGCATAATCGAGGGGCTAACGTCGGACACAGGCGGAAACACTTGGGAGCGTACAAGCATTAAATTGATTGAATTAATTTAGTCTACTACTAGTCTGGAGCCCCATGCTGCGCAAATTGTCTAGCATGAAATAACGCGCGATGCTTGGTGTCTGAAACAAAATGAAACAACCGATGATCATCCCGGCGACTGGATCCAGCTAAGGTGTGTAAGAGTAGGAGCTGCTGCTGTAATTGCTTGTTGAAGGCTACATCCATTGTTGATATATTGGATGCTCAATCCGCCGTTGGTCGCACTTAACAGTAGTATAATAATCTAGAATCTGGCAGGTCGTTGAAAATGTATGAATTGGAAATATATCCTAAAAGTCGCTATAGCAGACCAAAAATATACATCCGATGATTTGGGAAACTATAGAGCTGATACCAAACCGATATGATAGGCTAAGAGTAGCGAGATATTATGCCAGCAGTGTAGAATTCGATATAGGTGTGAAGAAGTCGCTTCATGGATATAGTGAGATGATAAGGTACACAACCTACAAAACAACATCAACGGTACCTCCTGGAACGACTTGCCTTTCGCGTAGCCTTCAAAGTAAAGAATTCTGTGATCCAAAGCAGAGACACAACAAGCAGGATCACCCCAACTCCAAGAGGAACCACAACTTTCCAGAATACTTGAATGTCCCCAACCTTGATGGCGCCGCTTTCTCTGCTCTCCCCTAAGTTCATTATTGAAGCAGTCACCGAAACTGGTGATACCAACCAGGCCCACAGTGCCAGAATCAGTAGCAACATATTTCGGTATCGTGATCGTGATTTTTCAAAGTCATCTTCGATTGACTTCAGAAAGCCCATGATCCTTTCAACCCGTTTATTCAAGCGAGAGACAGCATTTTGCAAGTAGGCGAAGTCGTTCGCTAATTCCGAGTAATCTGGCAGACCGGTGAGCTGCTCTCGAGCTTTGCAATACTCTTCAGTTTCGTGTATAAAATGTTCGTATGGCCCAATCTTGATTAAATCACTGTGTAAACCAATCAGATCTGCTTGGAGCCTTGCAGAGAGGCTGCCATTTGGGTCTGGATATAGGGGATCCAGGAGGGAGGGAAACTTTCGTCTCCGTATAATAACCTCTTTCTGATAATACGCCTCCATATAGGATAATTGCAAGTGTTTGGATTCGATCTCAGCCACCCAGAAGCAACCGATCAATTGAAGAACATCGACGAATAGAAGGCTCGGTGATGTCAATGCGGCATTGCGAAAATCATTATTCTCAAGATGGCAGATGAGGTGGTACCAAAGGATCTCCTTAATGGAATAATTGGATTCTGGAGCTCGTTGAGGCCGTCCTTCCCATTCTTTTGAGATTTCCAGATTATCCATGACGAAACGTTCAACAAACCGTGGTCTTGGAAGGAACTCTCGGAATATATATGAAAAGCCTGGCTCGCAGACCGGTATCCTGCTACTTTGGTTCTTCACCACAATGACACCTGTTGAGTGTTACTACTTCCTGAAGACAAATCTTGGAGTCGTAAGCCACTCACCTATCCACGGTATATCCCGTGATGGGGTTTCAGTTTCACCATTGGTCCTCTTCCGCGCATGCTGGTTTTCCCATACAGTGAGATTATTGCGTAGACCGATTGAGTTGGCGCAAATTGGAGGCCCAGGTTTGGCATCACCACAAATGGGATAGGACGTTGATAGTGAACTATGGCCATCCATATTTGGGCCAACACAAACCTCAGAGCTACCTGGTGTTGGCTCTCTGTGGGCAACAAATCGAAAGCAAAAATGCTCCTGCTGCCTCGCAGGCCTTGGTAACGGCCAAAGCTGCTCTAGCAGGCTGTCATCTCTGTATTGGACGCTTGGCTCACCGGGTCCAATATCTACCTTTCCTGACCCAAACCACGACGGACCGACCAGGAAATCTGCCCAAAACTGAGGATCAATTCGCAGTTGCCCTCCGAGCTCTGCGATCATCCTGGGAGTGGGGTCTTCCAAAACTATAAGTATTGGGCTTGAACCATCATCCAATTCGGGCAGAACCTCTTCCAATTTCAGGTCACGCTGTACGGGAGGAACGTTGCTTGGCTTGACGAGCACGATTCCGAAAGTTTGTCTCTGGAGATATAGAGGATCCTGAAGATAAGCATCGAGATAGGATAATCCAGGCCACTGGCCTGCGAGTCTCTGGATATATTCTCGATATTCATTGGCTAGCTCACTGAAACCACTGTATGGGCTCGGTTGACTGTCATGAGATGGTGTGCGAGTGCTGACCCCATTGGACATCTCAAGGTCTGTTGCGGGCTTTACCCGCACCTTCCTAAACAGGGTCTCTGTCGTCCGCATCTTCTGCTCTTCGCGAGGTACCTTGCTTCATCTTATCCCGAACTAGCTTCGCGGTGAAATAAGTCGACAGAGAATACATCCTTCAATATTACACATATGCTTTCTTATATAAAAAAAGGCCACCCGAACCGAGCTGACCCAAGCACGATCTATGAGTCGAGACGCCTTGGATTCACTGACCGGTATGAATAACCTAGTAACTCAAAGGGATGTACTATGCTACATCTAGACTGTTCTTTATCTTCTCTAATTCCGACATCCATGGCACTTCTTGACACAAATACAGTTTACGGGGCCGTATAACCTTAATCTAACCACTTAAACAGAACAACTCAATGAGAACGTCTGATGAAGACCATGAACACGGTCAGAGAGTCTTTTTCAGGAAAGTGGATGCAATGGCTAGACTCCGACTTCGTATCTCTTATGCAATAAGGGTAGCCTCTAAGACCGAGTAGGTCGGCAAGCTAAGTTTGTTCGTATTCAGTCCAGCCTCTCAACTTCAAACATTGCGTATAATCGCCGCCTTCGGCTTGAGTATCCGTGATCCGGGCGGGGTTATAAGCTTATACCCATTCCCCAGATTTAAGCTTCGAATGGCCCAAGGTAGGGTTGAACATAACTTGACATCATCCTTTCTACTACTGGAGTCTGGAATGTACATGTCCTTGCATGCTAACTCGATAGCTATAGCCTTTGGAGAGCGAATTCCTCGCCAGCAAGTCATGTTGAATACCGGATGTGTTGAACTCTCTGAAGCGAAGAATATCACCCTGGAAGTCACTATTTTATCTACCCAAGAGAGCAGATTCGGAACCACTAAAAGCGAAGGGTCCAAATCTAGGCATGATGCATATGGCGTAAAGCTAATTGCTTGACACAATCAAGAAGTAAGGTCTGATGTGGGGTCCATGTCCCTGTGACTGAACTTGACTTTGAACTCCACCCCAAATTGCTCTTGAAGATTACAGCAATTGAACTATGACACTAGAAGAACAGACACTGGACTGTGGCTAATTTGATAATCTGCATAGATAAACAGGATGGGTCAGCGGGTGTGGTTTCCTCCTACATTCCTCTATCACTGAGTCAGGAATATCTATCAGCTCTTCCCACACTCTGCCTGTTGTTGAGGACCGCTACAACCTTGATGATGAACCTATTAGGTGACGTCCTTGGGGGGCTGGGGTATGCTGCTACATCCGCGTCTACATTTGTGGTAGACAGTATTGGCCATGCGGACAGCATCATCGAATCTGCGACGCGCATATTTCAAAAGGCTAGCGGACATTCCGTTCGTGGGCTTATTGACGCAGTGTTAAGACGCTCTCAGAAGCTGATAAGCCCAGAACTTCTTCTGGAGACTTTGACAAAGCTTCTTGTCAGGATAACCGAGCAGATAAACACAGAACCTGTGGGCAGCCTGCTTCAAGAAGCGACCAAATGCTTATTCAAATTGATCAAGTCCATGTTGGACAAGATCGATCCAGAATCACTTCTTAAAATTGTGAAGGAGCTCACAACAGTGACCGTGAAGGCAATAATTGCCAAGGTGGGAGCACTTCGGATCATACACGAAGGCATAATCAGCAACGATGTCACTTCGGCAACCCTGGGAGCCATCTGGAACAATGGCGGCGATTTGGCGAGGTTTTTGGTTGACCTTATCGAACCTGCCAAGTGCTATTTCCCAGCAAACTATATTCCAGCTGACCCACCCACTGGAACCGCTAAAGGGTCACCACGTGGTGCATACAATGAATTGGACGCATCAAAACATATGAATCAGCACGCTTTGGTTTGTCAACTTCAGAGGCTCGCCAAATCGATGATCTTCATTGTGGGGGGAATGGGCAAAACTGTCAATATTGACGAGCTGGAAGACATTGGCATTACCGATGCAACCACACTCGGAAGCGACGTCAAATCCGTCGACTCGAACATCACTGTTGAGAACCCTGCAAAGGACATATCAGTAAATGAGAAGTGGTTATTTGTCAATGGTGTAGGCGGAGAGCTCTTCTGGTTGCATCTTGCTTGCAAGAAACTGGCAACGCACTATTCAAGAGAAATAAGAGGGGTTTTCAATAGGGGTGATGGCCTTCTTTGGGACTTAGTTGAATGTGCAGGCGAGAGGACCGTCCAGAGAACTGGCACCGCAAGAGAACAGAAGAAACTTATCAAAAGAACAAAGAGCAGCAGGATGGCACAGAAGTCATTGGTAAAGGAATTGAAGTCAGCCTTGAACGCCAATCCAGAGCCCAAGCATGTCGTGATGATAGCTCATTCTCAGGGCTGTCTGCTTCTACGCCTAGCATTGGAACAAATATTGAATGATTCAGTCAGCGATACCGACATTCCTGAAAGAATGAAGAAACGCCTTTGCATCTTCACATTCGGAAACCCCAGCGTCGACTGGAAATGGGAAATGGATGAACAAATTATTGAGCAAGCAAATCTTGACAACCACCAATTGGACGATTTTACAAACCTCAGTTCGCACGTTCTTCGCACCGAGCATTTTGCGAACGAAAATGACTTTGTAGCGAAACTCGGGGTGTTGAATGAAAACAAGTCAGAGGATAGTGGCTACGCGCCTGAACATGTCTTCATCAACGAAAAAGAAGACTGGGCTAGCGGCCATCTCTTCGGGTCACAGTACAGTCTTGACCCAGATGACTACTTAAATGCTGGAAGCAAATTGAGTGGCAAGAGATCCTGGCTGCTCCCTTGTGAGAAGGGGAAATCTTTGGAGATTATGCGAAGTAAGTTCCTCGTCTATATTACTGAGTCTAGGCTAAATTTCTGTTTGATAAGTGGACCGTACGCCCAGTGGTCTTTGAGCAGAGGTTGGCTTAGTTTAGAACCTGAGCCAGGCACAGGGCAACTACAATTCTAAAAGCTATCCTTTCAAGTTCTTGAACCAAGGTCATGTTCGACCGGTATCCGTCATCATAACTTCTCAATAGCATAACTGATGAATAAGTATATCTTGGTTGGCAAGCGTCTATCAAAAGGGCAAATTGTGTAAATTTCAACTAGATGTAGCCATAGTGACTTACAGAAGATAGTCAGAATCCATTCCGACTAATAATTTCCAAGCTAAGTTTAGGATTAACAGGAAATATTGATATGACCAGACTAGATCGGCATCGGAGTTATCGAAACGAGTCATGCATTGAGCATCTTACGCACATCTAATTCACATCTATGTCATTCTCAGATAAGGCTCGCACAAGATGCGTTGAAATCATACCCTTATATGTCAAGAAATTCATATAGAGCAATTCTACTCGTGCGCTATAGTCAGCTCCATGTTCCCGGTTCAGACTATTCCGTAAGCCACACGACAACTGTCGAAAATACATGATATTCTTACAGGCAAAACCCTAGTCAAACCTCGCATATACCCTCCACGCCAAATCCACACCCGTAAGCTGACTCAAATCCAGCTCGTCACCATCCAACAACCGGATCGTCCACTGAGTAAAGACAGTCGGATACGCATGGACCTCGTCCCCGAACGATCCATCTATATGGACTTCCCCGATTTCCCCGTTAGCATCGATGTCATAAGACACTCGGGCAGTCTGTGGCCCACGAGTGAAATGAAAGACCTTTCCATCTTGGATATCGGCATATAGCCCCGAAGTCGAGAGGTTGATGTTGACGCGGTACACGCCATTCTGGAGATTCTCTGACCGGGGACGCGCGCCCCGGAGATAGGCTATTAGGCCGGCCGCGCGGAAGTGTGACCCATCTGTGAAGATGCTGGCGAAGCTGGGTTCACTGTCAGGATCGGTACTCGGGGTGAGAGTGAAACTGGCGCTGTGCGTTTCGCTTTGGAGGTCGGAGATTACTAGTGGACCGTAGTTGGATGGGAGCTTTATAGAATAGGTGGGTCAGGAACGTTATGTTAGCCCGTGGGTTGGAGGTGGGGGGATAACTTACGTCGTTGGATGACACAGTTTGTGTGAGTACTGGGTATATGATTATTAGTGTGTTTCAGCGAACATGGAACAATGTTTGCAAGTCTACTTACACTGCAGGATTCGGTCGTACTTGGAGTTGATGGTATTCATCGCGTCATCAATGAGATACACATCATTGCGAAATTGGGCCGTGGTCTTTTGGGAATCCAGCACTAACGGGCTGTCCTCCAGGGCCCAGTATTTGTACGCCCAGGCCATATTGCGCATCTCCATGGCCACCGAGGTTTGCATGAACAAATAAGAATCGTAGAACTTCGCTTCGGCTGTAGCATACAGCTCTTCTTCACCAGTATACCTGTCAATTAGCTCTTGCAACTCTTTGATATTTTTCTGACTGGTGATTACTTCCATCTCTGCCAGCACGTATTCCTGTCCTGCTTTGGTGGCTTGGGCATCCGCCTGAGCCAGGGCCTTCCCATTGATGCTATATTTCTGAATAGCCAGCCGATAAGCAGCAGCGCCCCGGATAGCATGGGCAACCGCGAAGTCCAGCTGCGCAACAGAATTGACGGTCCAAGTATCCCATGCAGCTAACGTAATGATCAGTCTCGCATCGGCGTCTCCTTGCCTGGTGCCGGAGATATCGTCCACGGATGGGATTGCCGCGTTTGGGTCAGTCTCCAATTTCTTAACCGCCGCGGCGACTGTGACCATGGAGAAATAAAGGGTTTCCAGAGGGCCCATGCACTCCGTGAGCTGCTGCAAAGTATCCGACGAGATGTGTCGATCCTGTGCAGCGGTGTTTTTCTCTGCCTGTTTGACTTGATCGATAATATCTGCTGCACCCTTTATTGCTTTCAGCACATCGTCTAGGACGGAGGCGGCCGAAATACGGTACAGCTGCTCGCCAAATGTCAATATTCCAGTCAAAAGGCCGTACACTCCAATGAACACCGCTTGCTCTTCCCAGGCTAGCAGGCCTTCCTCGAACGCTTGCTGGGCGGCATCCAGCTCGTGGCGACCCGCTGTGACTAGATCATGGCAGCTGTCTCGAGTGGCACAGGCATCAGAGTATTTGTCGGAGGCGAGATCCCGAGCCTGCTCCCGCAATGCTTGTTGATTGATGGCCTGTTGAAGCATGGTGGTCCAAGCGGCCTTGTGATCCTCGACACTGGCTTCCTGATCTTGAAACCGTTCATACTGTGTCTGGAACGCATCCAGAGCATCGATGGCATCCTCGACAGTTTGCCGGTACTGGCTAATAGTCAAGGCAGGGGCATACGAGGTGTCAGGACCGGTCATGGCCTGGGCAGCTAATTGCTGGCCCAGGGACACTGCCTGCGTGTTAAGCGCCGGGTAAAGCGCGGGACGGGCCGTTGCGGTGGCCACATGCGCACACAAGGACATGGCAATGGAAGGCTCCTGCCAGAATAGCGCTTGTGCAATTCGTAACTGTGTCGCTAGCGAGGCCTCGAAAACCTCATCCGGGAGGTCGAAATACTGCTGGTAGTACGCGACACTAATGCTGTCCGTCTGGACGGTGACCACCGCCCCAACATGATCCGTCCCTTGACCAAGCTCCAGGCGGACACTCTGCGACGCATTGGGACTCTGCACCGTCACCGGCTGGTCTAGGATAGAGGCATAGATCCGGAGCACACAGCCTGTGTACGGGGCAGGCTGGACCTTCAAAGTCACGGGTGCGTCGGCAGTCAGGACCCGCGCAGCCAGGACAAACATACTGTCCGTCGTGGACGAAAGGGTAGTTTCTGCGGAATCAAATGCAAGAACATCTGTGTACACATACATTGGGTTGTGGGTCAGAGACTTCACAAAATCAGCCGAGGTCATGTACACGTCTCGTTGATAGCCAGTGTCCTATTGTCCACGCAGGACCTTGCTCATTAACACTACCCACACCATAGATAGAGTTTCATTGTGAAGACTTACCCTGTCTTTCATCCCAGCATCTTTCTTTACCGGTACTGCCAACACCACGTCGGAGAGAGCATACTGCTTCTGCCAATCGGCCGGGCAAGCCGGCTGGGGCTCGTATGAATTGGACATGACTGCCTCTGGTGCTCGAGAAGCTGGGGGTTTGAGAGACCGCAACTATGAAGCAGGAAAACTAATCTCCTGCTTTATACGCATGGGACAGGGATGTATATCTCAGAATAGCCACAACGTGTCACGAATAATGTCAGAACAGCATGTGTGCAAGTGGGCCGAAGCAATATATTGAAGACTCCTAAGCGGACAGGGTGACTCAAATATATGCATACCCCGCTCGGTCGCAATGGCTACCTTCAAGCAGCAGAAAATGCCTCATACTGGGATTATTCCTGTAATGCTAGACGGCAGTATCATTCGAATTCATTGGACATACTGTGTGCACAGTTGACGTTATTGTGCTTCGACGGGGTGAGGGGACAGCCCTGACCAAAAGCGCGGGAGATTCTTTTGCTGTTTCGAAAATGCCCTCGACCCCTGCTCACACCCCTCACCGGTCAAGTATTCATGTAGTGCATGCCTCCCCATATTAAGGGCAGCCATATTCCTGCCTTGATTGCGTATTTAGCAACGACATTTCAATCCTCAAGCTCTCTTCCTGCAAATATTTCTTACCAACCATCATGAGTGAAACCGAAGTCAGCAAGCGTCTGCAATCCTCCTTAAGCACTGACAAGGGGCGATTCAATGAGGTACTTCAATCATGATAAGCCGTTCGCATTGATGAAGGAATACTTACAGCCTACATTAGATCACAGCCCTTTCGCAGAAGGCCATCAACGATGGCATGTCTAAGTTGTTGGAAAGTTATCCGGAATTAGCTAAGGCCGAGGCTTCAATGGAGGGTATTGGCACTCTGAATGCTACACTACAGAGTAGTCAGCTTTCCCTGGACGTCACCGGGCAGCAGAATGCCGTCTCCATGTACTACTGTACCTTGGGGTCGGGAACTATTCATTTCGGCATCGGGTCAGTTCGAACATGTTCATACCAGACGCTTGGCTAACAGTGTACGGGTGGTTGAAATAGGAACAAAGATGTTGAAATAAGCAATTGGACTATCGCCTGGACTTGTACTCTTGATAAGGAGGTAGTTGATCCAAGCTCTGACGAGTTTAAAGAAGTCCAAACACAAATCCTGCAACCCGGGGACTACTCAATCAGTTCCTTGTTCTTTGCTTTCACTAGTAAGTGAACAGGTCAGATTTCTCACAATATATAGGAGTACTTCAATTCACTGTTGACTGACTGACACCGTTGCGTTTATCTCAAGATGATCACATCATCTTTTTTGAGTCCGTGATCATACCCCTTATCATGGTCAGCGTTCGTTACTGATAATCCCCAGCCGTGAACATAGTACCTTCAACGGCGTTGACTTGACCGAGGACGAAAAGTCCTATCTCGGCCTGATTCTCGGCCACTGGTATGTAGGCGAGGACAGTCAGTGGCTGGACCGCAAGAAGCGCACCCTGGCGTATGCGTTACATACGGACAAGCCCCAGACCGTGAACGAGGAGGCGCCATCCTTTCCTCCAACATCTCTGAAGCTGCAGACCTACCCTTATATTGCCCCCAATGAAACGAAGCCGGGACAGGGTCTTAGGTCGGTCGGTGAGAACAACATGCTCCTCTATCTTCAAATGACCGACAATAAATCCTTTCCCGATGTCCGGATTTTGGAGTACTCGGGGAATTACGTCTCCAAGGGCATGAACGGCACGTTTATCATCGACCGGAACATCATCTGGGATAGCTACCTCTTTCGAACTACGGCCCCGAAGCTGCTACCTATGTTCAACGTTTATACCTACGCCTGGGTCGCCAGCGCCAGCAATACGAACCTATTCGGAGAGCAATGGTCCATTGGACTCGGAGACCCGAGCCATTCAAGCGACGCTAGCTTTTATGCGTGGAAGCAAAGTGACACGGATGCTTTGACTTGGAAGTGGACTCCCTCAAATGAGGAGCAGGGATATCAGCATACATACAAGTCCGACGCAGGCTGGAATAAACTTAACATTGATTGTAAGTGTGCTCGTTGATGTTCCCGTAATAGAAGGGATTCGAATCATAACACTTGCGCTCCAGGTACCACTTCCAATATATTGAGCACCGTTCCCGGAACTGGCAACATCAAGGCGAGTGGCACTACGGATGTCACCATTGTTTGCCAGGCAGTAGCCACAACCTACCCCATGGTAGCGGAATACGACTACACGTGAGTGTACTCTTCTCCACTCTGACTTGTTCAATCTGATTGGGAACATTCAGCATCCATGTTCAAATTACCTGGCAAACCAATATCACCGTCACCACTAGCGACGGTGGCCTAAAGTTTTCTCTCAATTTGCCCTCCGATCTGACCGAGGCCTTCAAGGTGACGGCAGATCCGCTAAAGTGGCACGGTGAGACTGGAGGCTTTGATAAGCTAGACGAAGTCAAAACCATATATCAAAACTTTCAGGACCAGCTCGTCAAACAATTCCAGAATATCTCATTCGGTGATGCTGAGAAAAGTCTGGAGAGTGATCTTAATACCTCGGCCCGGTTCGTGATCCCGGGTAAGGGCTCGTTGGCATATAAAGATCCGATTTTCAACAACAATGGGGACATGATGATCGAGGCCGATTATGTGATTTAATGTTCTTGACATCCTGTTTCAAGACGCAGAGTCAAAAGTGTATTCGAATCTATCTCGAGCTCAATATGATGGTTGTAGGTTGGTGTCAGAGGTGGTGGTCAGATGCAGGCGCAGGAGATGGTGGAGGATCAGGTGATGCCTGGCTACAGCGAATGTCTCAACATCTCGCCTTTCTCATTTTCGAACAGGTATGCAGCGCTAGCGGGCAACTCGGATCCTTTTCGTGCTTGAAATGCGTGTTTCGTGTTGGTTAGCCACTAAATAGCTTCTTAAGGCTTATCCTGCCACGATTGACTTTCTTCTGCGGATACAACATAGGATATCCTTCGTTAGCAATCATGTATTCCCGAAGATGGTTAAATCAGGTAGCTTCGACTGATGTCTTTGACGGACAAATAAGCACACCCTCTTTCACTGGAAGATGGCCTCCAACCATGGGTTTTCATGTTACTTGGCATCATCGCGTCACTGCTTTCTAGCCCTTCTTGCGAAAATAGCAGTGCCCTTTGAAAAGATATAGCTAGTGTTGATGGAAATAGGGATGAGGACCTCTGAGAAGCAAACAGTATCTCGGTTGATAAAGATCCCTAGATTGAGGGTAATGAAAAAACGGCGATAGCTAAGCATAGCATAACAAAGTAAAGATGTTAGATCAGATGAAGACGTGTGTTTGTAGATCTGTCTTGTCTGAGTGAGTAATTAAACTCCAACAAGTCCCTTGCTGACTGTGGACAACGTGGTATCAATGAACACCCAAAGTTCTACCATTGGTAAGGTGGGCGGTCTTGTGAGCACAATGCCGAAAAGCAGATCTTAATATCCCAATCAAACCATACACTAATAGCAAAGGAACTCGCCGACCACAAGTGTCCTATACAAAGATTACTTGCTGGCAGAGTAAACCCATGCAATGGGCTCGGAAGTACGTGCGACAGTGTCAGACTGGAGCTAAGAATGGCTCAGCATGTCCAGCGACCCTCATACTTTGCACGCGATAGAGGTTTCGGACTATCTAGTACATACTATTCATGATTTAATACTTTTAGGAATATCCGAGACAGTTTTTCTAATATACAGTGGTAGTGGTTACTATCCATGAATTGAGCACAGCTATGATGCTCTGCCGAGTCGCTGAACGACCAGGAGGAGAAAAAACCCCTAGTTTGCTGGCATTCACGGTACGTTTTCACGTAGGTTGTAATACTGAATCAGAATTCTACCTTCTATACCAATTCTCTTTTTTGGGCCTTCGCGTATAGGTATTAAAGCCTGGAGGAAGACCCCATGGAAGAAACCGATAGAAATCCGTAGGACACTCAGAGTATAGGACGGCGAAGAGAAAAGAAGGGTTATGATCTTCTAATGTATATTATATATTTTGGATATCTTTTAGTCACGTGTATGAGTATTAGGATTTTCTGAATCAGACTAATTTCTGAAGCCGTCGCGTGTTGAGACCCCTGGCATTCCCTCCCCACTTGGTCCGAAGAAGGGGGGGGAGGGGATCACGGCAAGAAATTAGTCTAGATAGTTCCTGGAAATGTGGACGAGGTAAAATAAAAGGTTAATCATATTTATAGCGCGGTCAATGATTGACGAGTAATGGAAGTTGGAATGGGGCCTGTCAGACTGTCAGAAAATGGAATCAACTGCCACTTTTAGCGGCGGAGGAATTTTTATGCTTTGCTGCGACCGCCACGGAATCCGGAATTTCCCGTTCAATGGATTGTTTTGTTACCCTTTGTGAAATAATAATTCAGTGGTTTTCAGGGGGAGGATCGTACGATACTAGTAGGATCTAGCATGCATTCCATCGCAGTAGTCCCCTGCACACCCCTTGCAGGTGGCCCCGACAGGTAGCAGGTGGAAGGAAGCTGCAGGTTTCCATGGAAGTATCAGCAGTATCTAGTATGTATGTATGTATGTATTGTGTGGTACGGGAGTAACATACACTATACTACTAGTAAAATGGTTACTCGGGATTCATTTGCCAATCAATCAATCGATCCATGCTAAACCCAGATGGTCACTAGTATTCCCACCGTTTTAAAATTAAACCCATTCGATCCTCCACTCGAACCACCTGGACCCTTTGGGTTGTCTCCTCCTCCACAGTCCACACAGTCCAGTCCACACTCTTAGAGTCCACACAGACACAAGTCCAGTCCAGTCCATTAATCGTCTTTCCATCGTGCCGTTGATCATTCATTCATTCATTCATTCACTTTCCATTCTTTCTCTCTCTCTCTCTCTCTCTCTCTTCTCTCCTCTCTCATCCTCTCCACTCTTCCTTTCTATCCCCGCCCCTTTCCCCCATTCTTCGATTTCCCTTTTGCTCTTCTATTTATTTATTTATTTATTTCTTGTTCTATTTTCCTCCAACCTACAGACTAGACTAGGGATCTCTCCCCCCCAACCTGCACGAAGCAATTGTTATCCCTGTGAAACATGTCTGCAACCTTTAGGGGGTGGAGACACGCGACCCCCCATTATTTGTTCCAATCCCTTCGCCCTTGTCTGCTCTCTCACCAAATCACCAGCATGCAACTCGTCTGTTTGGTGTTCTGATTCTTTTTCGCTCCCTTCGACTTACCCACTACTGCTGCGCCGCTACTGCACCTCGTGGATGATTCTCATAACGTATACCGCACTTTCTCCAGAATCCTTTTGAATGCACCCCTCCACCCTGGCAAAAAAAAAAAAGAAATAAATACCAGGCTAAAAAAGCATAAAACCTGTTTTGTTTGCCCAACTGGTGGGTGACGCCATTGTATTTTTTTTTCTTTTATTCTTCTACACCTTTCCCTGTCGTCTGCACCTCCAATGCGCTTTGCTTTATAAGCCTCGTGGTGAACCGCTGAAACCGCCCTGTCTACAATAAAAAGAAAGAAAGAAGTCTTCCCAGCCATGGCGATGGAGAAGCAGGATCATCAAGTGGTTGCTGGCCAGCACCCGACACCCATGAAATTTTCCCGTTACCGTTCCGTGAGAAAAGCCGCGGCGAAACAGCCACCACCACCACCACCACCGCAATCCTGCCCCCTGCCCCCGCCGCTGCCCATCCCGCCTGTCGCTTCCGCACCGCCGTCGCATGACCAGCCAGCACTCCCCAATGGCTCCAGCTCCGTTCAGAGGAGCATGTCGCGATACCGTCGCAGAGCTCCTACTGCGCAATCTGCCGATGCCGATGCACAACCTCCCGTCCCAGCCCCTCCCCCGGCGTATAAAGCGCAAGTCGAGCCCAGTGCCAATGGAGGTCCTGTTCACCCACACTTTCAGGACTCAGAGGGCGCCGAGATGGTGCGAATGCGAAACAAGCTGGCGAGCAAATTGGCTGCGCGAGAGAAGCGGCACCAGGAAAAACCGGAGGATGATGAGGCGGAGCGCGAAAGACACCGACAGAATGCGATGGATCGGCTGACCGGCGGCGAAGCGAAGTCAGTGTCTATAACTCATTCAAAACCTGCGTCGCGCGATAGATCAGCCGACAAAGCTGAGGAGTATGCGGTTCGTCGTCCCCATAAGGAATCGGAGCATCGGAAACCCCAGACTGGATCCGCTTCGGCGAGTCGTCGCGCGAGCATGGAACCGAGGCGCCAGTCGGTCAGTGATGCAGCCAACCCAGCGCATCGCAGAAGTGCGCACGGCGATGCGTCAGCAGTCCCTGCGATTGATACCACGTTGCCTGCTCAGTTCCCAGGGATTGATGCGCCGGTATCGGCTGTCAATGCGCGCGAGCGGCGGGTGCTGGTTCAATACCGCAAATCATCTGCGCGCATCTGCATCACTCCCTCCACATCTGCTCAAGACATTGTCGCGACTGCATTGGAGCAGGTGGATGCCGGGTTAGACCCAGAAAAGTTCATCCTGATGGAGTCGTTCGCGGAGCTGGGGCTGGAACGGCCATTGCGCCGCTACGAATACGTGCGGGAGGTGCTGAATTCTTGGACCCATGACGAACAGAACACATTGATTGTCGTCCCTGCAGCTAGTCTGGATGCGCTAACCCTGCTCGATGCGCGGAACGTGTCACTCGGCCCACCCGCGGATGTGACCTACTACATGTACTACTCGCAGCGGCCTCGCAAATGGGATAAACGCTACGTGACCCTCCGGTCCGACGGCCAAGTGACCGTCTCCAAGAAGGAGAATGCCCAAGATGCAACCAACGCTTGCCACCTTTCTGATTTCGACATCTACTCTCCTACCGCCAGCTACCTCGCGAACAATGTCAAGCCGCCCAAAAAGTTCTGCCAGGCTGTCAAGAGCCAGCAAAAATCCAACATGTTCCTCTCGACGGAGAATTTTGTCCATTTCTTCTCGACCAACGACCGCGAGACTGCCGATGGCTGGTACCGGGCCGTCCAAACCTGGCGCAGCTGGTACCTGGTGACGAAGCTGGGGGCAGGCCAGCCGGCGGAAGCAGAAGCCATGCAGCCGGATGAGGCCCCATTCAAGCCCTTGCTGAACCCCTTTGAGGAACCAGCCTACGAGGTGAAACCGTCGCAACCCGCGCTAGAACGCGCCAAATCAACGAAGACCAAGGAGCTCTTCTCCCACAAAAAGAGCACCCGCGAGCGCGGGCCTCCACCTACATCGTTTCCCAAGCTTCTCACCGGCGAGTCCGACCTCGCTACAGGCTCATCCTCGGATGAAGCCCCCTTCTCAGCATCCGGCCTTCTCGGCCGAACCTACACCATGCGCCAACGCGCATTGAAAGAGCGCGAGGAGCAAGAGAAACGAGACAACGAAGAACTCATCAAACAAGGCCTGATCGGCACCATGGGCTCCCGCCACCCCAGCCGCACCAACACTATGACCTCCAGTCACGGCCCAGACCCCAACCTCATGCGACGCACGCAATCCATGAAAAACAAACCCCTCGTCGACTTAACCCCGGTCTACCAAGAGCCCCCACAACACATCCGCAAAGGCCGCGGCATTACCGTGGAACCAGGACTGCCCCTAATCGATGCCGCCACGGGGCCCGAAGCCCCAGGCGGAATCCAAATACCCTCCGCCACCACCTGGCGAAGACCGCAGGTGCCGCCTGAACCGCCCATGCCGGAGGTCCGCACCCGCAATCGGTCCAACACTGCCCGCAGTATCAACAACCAACAGCGATACCATCATACCGCTCCGACCACGCCAACCGACGGGGAGAATCTGCGCAGCCAAGACGGC